GTGTCTTCTCTCTCCCTCCCTGGCCTCCCCTGCAGTTCCTGATACTCGTGTGTCTGATTCCAGGGGAGAACTCTGAGGCTGGCGCCCCCACCAGCTTAGGGGTGGTGAAAAGGGAGCTCCTTGAGAAAGTGGTGGGAAACTGCTCCTATAAGGTCAACAACCACTTGGACCACCTGTACAGACCACGGCCCATAGAGGAGATGGTCAGATCTGGGAAGGAGATGCTTGGTAAGAAGATGGAGCACAGTGATCTGAGCAGGAACTGTGAGCGCTTTGTCACGGATCTGAGATACGGCAAGGCCCGCAGCCGGCAGGTAAGGCCCTCTCTGGGGGGCTCCCTCTCCCTTCTGGAGGTCTGCTTGCAGTGGGGGTGTCAGGGTTGACTACCCAGAAGAAAAAAATTACTCTTAATGATGAAAACTTGGGCTCTTGGGGTCCTCTGGCTGGGAGTCAGGATGTCTGAGAGCAAAACTCAGGTCTGTTCCTGATCCACCCAGGCTCTCTTGACACGTCACTTCCTCTCTGGCTTGTTTCCCCATGTGCAGAAGGAGGGGATATTTGGAGGACCTCTGGGGCTCTGGCCAGTTCTGTCCCTTTGGGATCCTTCGCCTCTAACACCCACCCTAAAAGCACCTCCTCATGCCCCTGTGTGCTGTCAGGGAAAGTCTGGGCCAACCCTGAACCATGACAGGTCTAAGCCTCCGGACAGCACTCTAAGGAGAGATGCTCAAGGTCTGTGGCCTATGTAAGAGCTCCAAAGAGTTCTTCTGAGAAGACATTGTGCAGCCAATTCCAGCTGAGTGTTCTTGGGCAAGTCTCCCTACCTCTCTGACCTGCATTCCCTATGTGAGGAAATGGGTGCTCCCTCCTCCTCTATGTGACCCAATAATATAAGATCTGGGCACAGCTTTATTTTTTTATTATTCTTTTTAAAAAAATATTATAATAAGTATTACAAAGGGTATTACATATGTGTCCTTCCCCACCCCCCGCCCTTGACAATCCCCTGCCCTCCCTTACCCCCCAGTGTCTTATGTCCATTAGTTATGCTTATACGCATGCATACAAGTCCTTCGGTTGATCTCTTACCCCCCTACCTCCTGCCCCCCAACCCTCCCTGGCCTTCCC